CCCTAGGTAGGTTTTCTTTGATATATATGCATATAAATCTAACTGTATCTTAGAGTAAGGCATGATGAAAATGTAATTAGATGGAATAAGGTTTGTTGATATACTATGTCTCTTTTTAATTTAACATAATGCATATACTCTTACTATTTCTACCACTTTGGGATTTGAATCGACAACTTCATCTCTGTGCTAATATGGTATGGCAACTCGAACTGATGTACGTACGTACAAGTTCTACATTGTGACTGACTGACTGACTGACTGACTCAAATAGTACTGGGGACATATCTGATCTATTATTCAATGTATATAAACAAGTATGATCATGCTTTAGTAACCCTCCTACAATTAATTTTGCTTACGGTTAATTTTTGTCAAGTCTTTCAGTTAACTTAACTAACAGACAGTGTTATTCGAACAACAATGCTTTGTCTATTTCTTTGTAATATTATGATTATCATCATGTTTGTGTAAACATCTATGATTGAATCTTATTAATTACTATGGCTTTGCCTTGCCTTATTTCACCTTGATTCGACTTCACAATAAATTTACCTATACATTCGCTCTCTAACATAAAAATTACATTCTCCGCTCCTATTTGCCTCGATCTACCCATAATTCTGTTATCTATACTATCCGCTAATAAACTGTAGTCATCGTTTTTTGTTACCTTCAAAATTCATTCACTCACTACTACTACGACTACTACTACTTCTGTTATATCTCGAATAGATCTATGAATGGTAACTTTGAGGACTATCTATGAATCAATATGATGCGCATATTTCCTATTGTATAATTGTTAAGTAACTTAACCATTCATACTCATGTTCCTCTTATTATAAACTTTATATTGAGCTATAGACTATTATTATATAATTTACCATTCTTCAGTTATACCCAGTCAATTAATTACTGCCACCCCTATCCACATCCACATTTGGCCAAATCTTGTATAAATATTATTTTCTATTTTATGGTACGATGTGGTCTATTTGGTTGGTATATAAACCCAGTATGTTTGGAAAATAATTATTCATATTGCAGAGGCTGTTATTGGTGTTCTGGAGATAACTGGTTGGTCTAGGCAGAAAGCAGGACCGATAACTACTCTAGACTGCTCATACAGTTTTCATGTATCATTGGTTCGACCGATAAATTCTCTGATCTCTAACAGAGGGGTACAAGATAATAACAACTGCTCACGCACACGATATAACAACAACAACAACTACCACTTCTTATAAGTTGTAAGCTTCTAAAGTGTATTCCTTAAATGATAAACTTAACGTCATTCTGTTAAATTGCTTCTTTTAGCGAGGCGAAACCCAACTCACACGTCCTTGTCATGCCTCCTGGATAGTGAGGACTTCTTTTTGATTTACAATAGTAATACAAAACAAAACATCAGAGAATTTTTAGAACTCCAGTCAATCAGTAATAAACAAGCACATTGAAATCAATCCAATTTATCAACCAATCAGAAAAATTATGCCGAAACATAGGAACAAAAATCAAACCAATAGGAGAACCAACCAAAACGAAGAAACAAACACTGATAAATTTAAGGTCAATAAGAATCAATCAACATCGAGATGTACAGAACAAGCTGTGAATCACATGTAGAGAAATGCAAACGCTTCACTTCTACCTGACGTTTTTGCCGATGATGTCATTCAGAAGGATGATGAAAGCTTCACGACTAAACCATCCAATTCAAAGAACAAAACTTTATCAAAATCACCCACCTGAACTACAAATCTTCTTCATCATCTCAAAACCGCAATTATTTATCAAAAGTAATTTGATTATAACATATATATTTATTAATTGGTATATATACTTAATTAATTCATGCCTAATCAATGTGGTATAGAGTTTAATGATTAATTAACTATTATATATTGAAAGTGATTCAAATGAATTAGATATCCATAGTTATTGGTTCATAATTAAAAAGAGAGAAAGAGTTAGATTGTTCATTTTCTTTTCATTTATACTATAAAGTAAATAAAAAAAAAAAGAAGAGAAAAGTGGATGAAGGGGTTATTCGTTCAAACGTTTACTGAATTGATTATTTTCAAACTCTTACTTACTTACTTACTTACTTACTTACTTACTTACTTACTTACTTACTTACTTACTTACTTACTTACTTACTTACTTACTTACTTACTTACTTACTTACTTACTTACTTACTTACTTACTTACTTACTTACTTACTTACTTACTTACTTACTTACTTACTTACTTACTTACTTACTTACTTACTTACTTACTTACTTACTTACTTACTTACTTACTTACTTACTTACTTACTTACTTACTTACTTACTTACTTACTTACTTACTTACTTACTTACTTACTTACTTACTTACTTACTTACTTACTTACTTACTTACTTACTTACTTACTTACTTACTTACTTACTTACTTACTTACTTACTTACTTACTTACTTACTTACTTACTTACTTACTTACTTACTTACTTACTTACTTACTTACTTACTTACTTACTTACTTACTTACTTACTTACTTACTTACTTACTTACTTACTTACTTACTTACTTACTTACTTACTTACTTACTTACTTACTTACTTACTTACTTACTTACTTACTTACTTACTTACTTACTTACTTACTTACTTACTTACTTACTTACTTACTTACTTACTTACTTACTTACTTACTTACTTACTTACTTACTTACTTACTTACTTACTTACTTACTTACTTACTTACTTACTTACTTACTTACTTACTTACTTACTTACTTACTTACTTACTTACTTACTTACTTACTTACTTACTTACTTACTTACTTACTTACTTACTTACTTACTTACTTACTTACTTACGCATGTTACTACCAATGGAGTATAGGCCGCCGACCAGCATTCTCCAGCACACTCTGTCCTGAGCCTTTCATTCTATTTCTATCCTAATTTTGTTTATTCTTTTCATGTCTGTCTCCATTTCTTGGTGTAAAGTGTTCTTAGGTCTTCCTCTTCTCCTTTGGCTTTCAGGATTCCTTGTGGGTGCTTGTCTTGTGACGCACTTGGGTGATTTCCTCAATGTGTGTCCTATTCACTTTCATTGCTTCATCCTCATTTCTTCCTCCACTGAAATTTGATTTTTTCTCTCTCACAGTAGGTTGCTGCTGATGGTGTCTGATCAACGGATACGAAGTATATTGCGTAGACATCTGTTAATAAATACTTGTATCTTCTGGATGATGGCTTTGGTAGTTTTCCAGGTTTCCACCCCATGCAGTAGAATTGTCTTGACATTTGTATTAAGAATTCTGATCTTGGTGTTGGTTGACAATTGTTTTGAGTTCTAGATGTTCTTCAGTTGTGGATATGCTGCTCTTTTGACCGAGTTTTTTGTCGACGGGATAGGGTGGTTTACCTTATGCTTAATCTTACTCCTTTATCCGGGATTGGGACCTGCAGTAGCCCCATGGGGGGCATCTATAACAAGTCCTTTCTTTTCTCAATGTTGATATCAAGGACTGAAATTAGTAAGCTCCTGTTAAGATGTCTACATTCTGAACAAATTGTTTCAATAATATTATTTAGTCATAAAATTTGGTCTATTGAAATCATCGACGAATCAACGTTAAACTACCTCTGAAAACTTAGGAGAAGTGAACTGGCATTTCGTGATAGCGTGCGACAACTCATCAGTTCACGTTCAAGATCTCGCACACTATACTCGAACCTAGGATCTTCAGTTACGCATGAACGCTTGAACTCTTGTTATAACTTGTGGCCTGGACGATCTGTTAATGTAGAACGTGCTAATACGGCCAATTAAAAAGCAGTGATTTATCGAACGGACCAATGATGCATAAAACCCGTGTGAGCAGTCTAGAGTAGTTATCGGTCCTGCTTTCTGCCTAGACCAACCAGTTATGTCCGGAACTCCAATCACAGCCTCTGCAATATGAATCATTATATTTCAACTATACTGGGTTTATATACCAAAACAGACAGACCTCATAGTACCAGAAAATAGGGAACAATATTTGTACAAGATTTAATCAACTTTGGCTGTGAATAGGGTAGATAGTAATTGATAGACAAGGCATAACTCAAGAGTGGTAAATCGTTCATAGGTTAAAATAAAGCTCATAATAAGGAAGACATGAATATGAATAGTTCAGTTATTTACTGATTATACGATAAAAAATATTTGCACATTATTAGCCCATAAATGGATCCCAAAGTTACCATTCACTATTCTTATCAGGACATTACAACCCTAGACCACTGAGCCCGAATTCAACGGTGTTAAGGTTTAACTTCAACACCGATCGGTTCATGATTTCAATGAAATTCAACAACCGTCACAATTCCCTACTGAAGATAAGATTTTATAATGACATATTTTAGCTACTAGCACACTTGCGAACATGCGTTTTGTCCAAATCCGAAATCGTTAGATAGAGATACTTAAATTTCAGCTTGAAAATTCAGCCCTACAAATAACACTATATGTTATTTGACTTGAAACTAATGGTTGGAATAGTCTTGATCATCGGTATGATGAATTCTACCAAGGTGATCTGAAATCTCTTTTAAAGTATAGTAAGCAGAAATGGATAGTGGCTAGTAGTGGAATTCAGTTTGACGCGCGTTTTGTCATATTTGGGACTCGTCAGTTGAATGTACCTACATTTCAGAGTTGATGTCCACTCTGGGATTCGAACCCAGTACCCTCGCTTTAAACACCATTGCTTTAGAGACTGACCAGTTGCAGTCCTAACACATCAATGGGAAGATTCAAACAAGCAATACTAAATGAATCTTTTAAAGTAATTTTAATCGGTTATCATTTCCTTGTCTAACATTGAAGTGATACTTTGTCTTGAACAAAAGTAATGGCTACCATATAATGTCTGTCAACTTCAATCATCCAAGTACAATAATACTTGGACGGAAAAGCTAACTGGAAAAATTATCACACAATATGTTTATTTACGGCTGTTAAGATCGATGAACATAGCAAATAATTTGAATAATCCTTACTCTGCAAACATCATTACGATTAGGGCAGATTGCTTCTCCTTCAATTCGACTAGTTTTTATTTGGGCTATACCAGAATAACATGAAAATCTTTTACCATCAACAATGACTTGGCCACTACCAGAACATAAGTACTGGAAAATATGAAAATCATTATTGTATAAAGCAAATTATTATATGATTATCATTCGATGGAAATTTACAAAGTTTAATGAATATAGAATGATGTTGATTAATACAGACTGTTTATTCTATTGCATGTTTCTGAATTTTAATTTATGTAACCGACAGTACAAGGTATCTTTCAAACTCCTATAATCTAGTTGATTTGTTCATATATTTGTTCAATTTTCCAAAGTACATGGATCGATGTTTGTCATGAATCCTATAACTATTAAAAGCGACTTAAAATACATTTCTATACAGACTTGACTTACACGCCCCTAAATGTCCTGCTACAATTGAGAGTGGGGATAGGCCACTCTCCCTCCCAAAATGCTCTCATTTGGCCACGCATATATAACCAATGACAGGGAATTCCTACTCACTGCATTCTCGTGCTATGTATGTTGTTCACGAAATTGAGAGGATGGAAAGTGACAATTTAACCGGGCGAGTGGACACGGAGAGTCCACCTAAGAGTAGTTGAAAAACCCTGATTCTAAACCAATAGTGCACGTGAATTCTAGTACCCTGAGGGAACAAATGGCGTATGATTCAATCATTGGTCACCGGCCACCATGTGACTACATCTCCATACAATGTTCCACTGTCTTGTGGATCAGATCTTTAGGTCAAAAGTTCCGAGTATGGCCCCCTAAGAAAATTATCTGCTTCAGTTTGGTCACTTGGGCAGTATCTCAGCCCTCTCACAAATCGAATGACATTTGTGTCGTGCATATATGTATTCAGTTCCCCTTTGTACCAATATTTTTGTGTTTAAATATGACTTTCATAATAAACAATTAATTTCAACCAATCATTTCATATTAAAAACTTTTCTGAAGTAAATGAACGTATCCAGGATAATAGTTTTTTTTTATTTATAATTACCTGATGACAAGTTGCTTTAACTCGAGGATCTTGTGTCAGTTTTCCATTCCATTCAGCTTTCCAAGTTCCTTTATGATTGATACATATTGAATTATTACCGAAAGTTTGACCAAAGAAATTTCCTTTTTGTGCTAACATAAATAGAATATAAACAAAAATGAATATAATTCATATTGACAATATCAGTTGAATGTAATCTATGTAATCTTTCAAATTTATTCATTATAAAGATGATATTTATGTTTCATTAGTAATTATAGTTTTAAGCGTTAGTCAATTGAAGCTAGACCACTATGGAAAACCTGGAAACACTGGACGGCTATTTGGTCCTATTATGGGACTCCTCAGCAGTGCGCATCCACGAACCCACTCTCGCGAGATTCAAACCCAGGACCTACCAGTCTCGAGCCAGAGCCCTTAACCGATAGACCACTGAGCTGGCATCCAACGGTGTTAATGTCTAAATTCAACTGATCCACGAAGTTGGTCCAGTGTTTCCAGATTATCCATGGTGGTCTAGCTTCAATTGACTAACGCTTTCAACTATAGTAAATACTAAATCTCCACAAAACCCCTTCTATAATTATAGTTTTGTATAGATTTTATTAAATCTTCACCCAAATTTCCTTTTGAAATGTTCCGAAGTTGTTTGATCATTCATAAGTATTCAGTTAGTCAAGTGACTGTTCATAGAATCTACTAAAAATGTCAATAAAGTTATTAGTAATCACAAGTTACAGTAAAGGCAGAGGTTGTAAGTAAATTAATAACTTTACCACGTAAAAAAGAATCCAGCTAACAAACAAAAGAGTTAAAGAATTCAAACAATTATATCATAATTCAATTAGTAATGTTTGTTTGAATCTTCCCATTGATATTTAGAACCGTAATTGATCAGTCTCTTACTGGTATATATATATATATATATATATGCCAGCTCAGTGGTTTATCGGTTAAGGGCTCTGGCTCGAGACTGGTAGGTCCTGGGTTTGAATCTCGCGAGAGTGGGTTCGTGGATGCGCACTGCTGAGGAGTCCCATGATAGGACCAAATGGCCGTCCAGTGTTTCCAGGTTTTCCATAGTGGTCTAGCTTCAATTGACTCATGCTTTCAACTATGAAACATACCAAATCTCCACAAAACCTCTTCTAATAATTTATAAACTTACCAATTGGATTATTTAAACTATGATCACAGTAGGTCATAAATTCTTCTTGGAAAAATTTTTTCATTGGCTATATTTAAAAGAAGGACCATTGTAACACCAGTAGTATTATTAATATTTAATCATTAAATATTTAAAAGGAATGTTTATACAAACTGACATTGGCGGTCTGTTTAAACATTTGGGCTACCTGTTCCTATCATCCAAATATTTCAATAAATTATCTAATTTCGTTTATTTGTTTTTTTTCTAGTTAGCGTTTTTTTACCGAGTTTTTTTTTTACGGGATGGGGTCGCTAACCCCATGCCCAACCCTCCTCCTTTACCCGGGCTTGGGACCGACAGTAACCCCCAGAGGAGCTACAGGCGGAGTTTTATTTGTTTTAATACATCATTATGCCTATTAATCGTATAATCTATTTCAGGTGAGTTTCTGAAAAGTGGTAGACCTTTCACTGTAAAGGTTACAAAAGGCTTAATCAGAGATATCGTGATTGCTGGCAAACAATAGGCAGCGAGAAGAATGTACATTATCCAGATGTTGATTAACTGGGCTGCTAAGTTCTAAATGGCGATCACTTAATATTTATTGGCAGAAAGGACGAAGAAGTAAGAAACGAAAAGTTGTTAAAGTACTTTGTGCTGAGAATTCTATATTGTACCAAAAGACATAAATATTGAATAAAGTTAATAATAATAATTATTATCATCTCTAGGATACTAATTTAAAATAACAATTTCAAGTAAACGAAGATCATCTGTGTGGAATATGTATCAAAACTTTAAAGCAGCTTACATATAATTGAGTTTGTTTACATTTAATTTGACAAAGCCCTTTTTGTTAACTTATATAACGGACAGTCAGTCGTAACAACAACAACAACAACAACAACCTATCTATACAATTGTACTTTTATTATGTACGCTTGAGCATTGCTTACTGCCTAAGCGTGTATTCACTCTGCAAGCCTTACTAATAATCACTTAATTGATTTGATGATTCATGCTTTTCCATTTGTATATATGTGTATATCTTAATCCTGCACTGTACTGTACTGTACTGTACTGTACTCGCTCATTCGACTGTCACGCTCAGTTGCCTGCTTTACGGCACCACACTTTCATGCTTGCTTAACGTGCCTGTAATTTTGGATATCTGTGTATGGTCCAATTAATAAACGTAACCAACCCATCGTATTTGCCTTCTGATTTATACACCGTTAGGACGTTATCGAGTAACGATACGAAGTTTAAGGTTAATATCGTACATCGACCACCACAACTTCATAAGAATAATCCCCTATGAAGTAAATCACAAATTCTTTATGTTATTGAAGTAGGTTTTGTCGCCTTTTTTGGAACATGAAACATAATGAGAAAATAGAGAAGATTTGTAGCTCAGATGGATGATTTTTGATTGACTTTAGTTTCATGAGCTGGATAGTTTGGTCATGGAGCTTTTATGGTTCTTCTGAACGACATCATCAACATAGTTTGTACTGAAGAACAAAACTACATCAAAATAAACAGACGTAATGTACTTTTTGACCTTCCTCTATTCCGTTTCCCGTCTGGATTCCATGTTAGTGCTTGCCTCGTGATGCAGATTGGTGATTTCCTCAATGTATGTCCTATCCACTTCTAACGTCTTATCCTAATTTCCTGTTCATATGGAAGCTGGTTTATCTGCTCCCATGAAACTCTGTTGCTGATATTATATGGCAAGTGAATGTTGAGTGTTTTGCGTAGACAACTGTTTATGAATACTTGTACCTTCTTCAAGATGGATGTAGTAGTTCTCCACGTTTCAGCTCCGTACAAGAGGACTATCTTGACGTTTGTATTAAAGATTCTGACTTTGAAATTAGTTGACAGTTGTTTTGAGTTCCATATGTTCTTCAATTGTAGAAATCCTGCCATTGCTTTGCCAAACCTGGTCTTTACATCTGCATCCTATCCTCCTTGTTTATCAATGATGTTTTTATAACTGAAAATATTTTCTCTTCAATTAATCTTCTATCTCATTTGGTTTAATACATTTAAATATCTTACAATGGGTTATATAAACATAATTTGTTGTTATTTATATCATGTAACTTAAGTTGAAACAGGTATGAAAAGGATGAAGGTTAACTGGAAAGAATTGGATAGGATTGCCCAGGACAAAGTTGGATAGAGAATATTGATGTGCAGCCTGTGCTTCTCCATGGGGGGGGCAACAGGCGTAAGTAATTAAGTAACTTATGTTGTCATATTTACTGGCATACTTTTACATTTACCCATTGTCCCAACTATATCATAGAATGAAGCCTCATAATTAGAATAACACAAAATAGCAAGCCTCATAATGTTCTATTGAATATATTCGAATAATGTTCAGTGGAATATCATCAGTCAGTCAGTCAGTCAGTTAGTTATAACTTAGGACCAGGTATATATATGTATCTGTCCAAGTTGCCACATCTCATTAACATAACAACATATAGAATATGAAGTTTAAAAATAACGTACAAATTTTTTAAGGAATAACTTTCTATTTACAGTAGTGTGCATCCACGATCGCGCAAGTGGGATTCGAACTCAGGACCCCTAGTCTAGTATGCAGAGGATTACCCCTAGACCACTGATCTGGCATCCAATGGTGTTAATGTCTGACTTCCACTGATCCATGAATGACTGCGCAATCATTTTTTATGTTTACAAAAATTTCATAAAATTAGATGTTTCGCTTGACAATCTAGTTCAAACTCTTTGAAAGAGATTTTTACAAACATAACATTTCTTAAATTCACTTAGTATTGTTTGTTTGAATCTTCCCATCGATTTGTTAGGACTGCAACTGGTCAGTCTCTTATTGTCATATGTGCATACTGTGCGTATTGCCTCGATATAGCCAAGTGGATGACGCGATAGCGTTTGAAGCGAAAAGTACTGGGTTCGAGTCCCAGAGTGAACATCAACTCTGGGATGCAGGTGCATTCAGTTGACGAGTCCCAAATAGGACGTAACTTGCGTCAAACTGGATTCCACTGCTAGCCACTATCCATAACATTTCTTGTTTATGTAAATAAATACTTATTATTAGTTGTTCTTGTGATTTCAAGTAATCTTCATGTAAACATTTTAAACGTCATTTAGGATAATGCGAAGATGGATAGATATTTACATTCAAACTAGATAGGACATGATTTTCGAACAGCATGTTTAATTAGTACTAAACAGTAAAAAACACTAACCTCAATAAGAGGACATTTATCTACCAATGCACCGGTACCTCCAACATCAGGAGAACCTTTGAAATATTGTTCTTGTGGTTGTAAATACTTCATATATTGTCCTATGCCACAAGTCCCAAAAGCTTTATGATGATAGCACATCAAAGAATCCGCTTCATCACAGTAAGGTTCCATGCCTTTCTTTCTAAAATTAGATAGACATTATTACCACTTAAAACGTATTCAATATTTAGGCTGTGATAACTGGCAACAAGGTCATGATTTTAAGGATGTTATTATTATCAATACTATTACTATTAATACTACTATTAATAACAATAAACATGAGTAATATAGTGAACAATTGAATAAATCTTACGCTAGCTTCATTTTATGCATGTATGCGTAGCAGCTTTCCATGACAAAGGTACAGCCTAAATTCTTCCCATAATTCCAGTCTTCAGCAACTGAAAAATCGACGTCCCACCAACTATATTTAAATCAGAAGAAGATATTTAATAAATAGTAAAATGAAATACAATGAAATAGTTTTGAAATTAACTTTCTATTCTCAAATGCCAACAATCATTATGGATAGCTGTTTTCACTATGATTTCCTCCCCAAAATGCCCTCTCGAAATGCTCTCACATGGCCATGCGTATATAGCCTCTAACAGGGAAGTCCTACTCACTGCCTTCTCGTGCCACAGGTGTTGTTCACGAAATTGAGAGAACGAAAAGCGAATGTCCGGAGATTTAACCAGGTTGGTGGACATGGAAAGTTCACCTAGGAGAGTTGGAAAACCCTGATTCCAAACAAATAATGCACATGGAGTTCTGTATTCTGAGGGAACAAATGGCGCATGAACCAATTGTTGGTCACCGACTACCATGGGACTGCATCTCCTAACGATGCTCCACTGCATTGTGGATTTGACCTTTAGGTTGAAAGCTCCATGTGTGGTTCACTGAAAACACCACCTACTTCAGTTTTGGCACCCGGGCAGTATCACAGCAGTCACAAAAATCGAATGAGATTTGTGTGGCGCATATGTATCTGGTGCTTCTTTGTACCAATGTGTATGTGTTTAAATAAATGAATAAATAACTATGATTTTCTGTTGAGGATGTTAACCTCCCAGAATTTACTTGGTAAATGACTTATTTTTTTTTGTAATTTTACTTTGAAAATTTGAATTTCCTTGTTTTCACGCCAAAAGCGTTCCATTCACCTTCGAGTTGTATTTTCCACCTGTAAAATATCTTAAACGCTATTGGTCCGTTATATTTTTTTAGTGTGCTATTTTGTAATGCTTCCCAAGGACAACTTTGTACTGTATTAATATGTTTGATTTCTTCCTAGTGTGATTGCTTGTACTTCGGCTGTTTACGGAATATATTTTCCCCTACTTCGTCTTGGACTTGTTCCTCTAGTTAGCTGTGCCTGGGACAACGGATTAGATTAGCCTAGCGTGTTACTGTGTCATTGACCTTTGTTTGTTTACCGAGAAAATCGAATTAGCATATCATTTCTCTAGATAAATTTGCTTCTTTTTTTGTGCTGGTAATTCAGAATTCAGCTAATTTCACTGTCTGAACAAATAACTCACTTACTTACTTACCTACGCCTGTTACTCCTTGTGAAGGAGCATAGGCCACACACCAGTATTCTCTATCCCAATAAGTTATATGAATTGTAAAGCTAATGCATCTAATGTCATATTACTAGGATAACAATCTGGGAGGTAATTCAAAATATACAATAAAGATACTCAGGGATTCTAGATTGACATTTAATTGTATTGATTTACCCAGAATCTTGGAAGAATGCTAATGTTAATCTTGAAACGACAGTTTTCACTCCTGTCACACCTGCCATTATTTCATCCTATAATGAACACAAATAAATGAATAGAATTAATCAGATGGTTTTGATCTCGATGTTGCCGTACAATGAAAACAATAATTCAAAGAAGAACTTAACTAACCACTAAGCATCCTAATTTAATCATTATATTATGATGTTTATTAAATAATTAAAGAGCAATGATATCTGTCTAGTTTGTTTAGTCTTTAGTATTGATCGAATTCTATTAGTTAGTTCACGATGTAGCTCCTAATCTAAGAAACTCGGCATCTCATGTTTTATGTTACGAAAATTGATGATTGCAAGCATTCAATAAGTATAATTAAGTGGTGTACACTTTATAGTAAATCAAATGAGTAGTACTATTATGTAATCTACTTATATCCATATAAGTAGTATATGATGATGGTCAGATATAGAATGTATTTTGGCAGAAGATCGATAAGGAAAAAACTGAAATGAAGCACGATTGGTAAGAAAATGTATAAACAATGAAATCAGAGAAGACGAACTGATATTTGCAGAAGGAACAGTTAAGATTGAGATCATTGATTGTTATGTTGCAAATTAACTATTTATTGTATTTAGAAAAGAATTTGTGGAGATTTCAGAATTTTTCAAAGTTGAAATCATGAATCAATTGAAGCTAGACCACTATCGAAAACCTGGAAACACTGGACGGCCGTTTCGTCCTATTAAGGGACTCCTCAGCAGTGCGCATCCACGAACCTGCTCTCGCGAGCGAGATTCGAACCCAGAACCTAACAGTCTCGAGCCGAAGCCCTTAACCGATAGACCACTGAGCTGGCATTACATTAATTATCAGAAGGGGTTTATGAAGATATAGTATATTCATAGTTGAAAGCTTTCAACTATGTTTACTGTATGGTTATCAGAATTTAGTGAGATAATCTGTAATTTGTGCTTAAATACATTCGATTGTCCTCACTCATATTTAATTCACTACAATACTACTGAAAAATTTTAACAGAAAAACCAAGAGACTATAATAAAATGATCTTCTTCTTCTTCTTCTTAAAATAAAATAAATTTTTACTTACACCAACTGTTCGCTTTTCAAAATGTGAACCAACTGTTCCTTCTCCACCTTCATTCTCTAAATCGATCCCATCCAAGTTAGGGCAGTTATAATGTTTTCGTCCTTCATTCTAAGCGAAAATAAATAAATTTTCAAAGGAAAATAATTTCTTATCATATTAAATAATAGTTCTTAAATGAAATATGATTTATATTCAAAAAAAACACTTTTACTTAGGTAATATATGATTGAATATATATGAGTTGGGATAAACGACAAGGTGTTTTAGAAATAAATTCTTATATAATTTGAGGTGATATATCGGTGATATTTCAGAATGTCATAGTGACAAAATGCTAATATTTGTTATTAAATCATCTGATGCTTTCTATATACTTTATATTGAATATAAGGTAGAAGTTACTTATTTAGTTACTTACTTACGCCTGTTACCCCTCGTCGAGGAACATAGGCCGAACACAAGCATTCTCCATTCAACTCTGTCCTGAGCCTTCGTTTCCATTTCTTTCCAGTTAACATTCATCCTTTTCATATCGGCTTCTATTTCCCGGTGTAGTGTGTTCTTTGGCCTTACTCTTTTCCGCTTCTCTTCACCATTCCAAGTTAGGGATTGAGTCGTGATGCACATTAGTGATTTCCTTAATGAATGTCCCATCCACTTCCAACGTCTTTTCCTAATTTCCTCTTCAGATGGAAGCTGGTTTGTCCTCTCCCATAAAACGCTGTTGCTGATAGTATCCAGCTAGTAAATGTTGAGTATTTTGCCTAGACAACTGTTTATAAATAGTTGTACCTTCCTGATGATGGCCGTAGTAGTTCTCCACGTTTCAGCTCCATACAGTAATACTGTCTTGACGTTCGTATTGAAGATTCTGATTTTGAAATTGGTTGAGAGTTGTTTTGAGTTCCATATGTTCTTCAATTGTAGAAATGCTGCCCTTGCTTTGCCAATCCTCGCCCTTACATCTGCATCTGATCCTCAACGATGCCTCCCGGGTACTTGAATGTTTCCACCTCTTCCAGAGTTTCGCCATCAAGTGTGATTGTGTTGGTGTTCTCCGTGTTGCATTTGAGAATCTTGCTTTTTCCTTTGTGAATGTGGAGGCCTATCGATGTAGAGGCTGCTGCTACATTTGCTGTCTTCATCTTCATTTGTTCGTGTGTTTGTGAGAGGAGGGCTAGGTCATCTGATAAGGTAGAAGTAGTATGGTTTAATACATATAATTGTTACTCATTCGATTATTGTTCATTATAATACTTTACATTTTTTTTTGGTTAGATAGGTAAATCTAGAATGTTTCAGTTTATTCTTAAGCATTGTGCAAATTCTTAGATCCTCATAAGAAATATACATTTCATATCAAGCCAATAGGTTTATAATGAACAAATAGATGTGAACCGCAAAACTATAAGCCTGAACAAATTACGGAAACTATTTTCTGGGGACGTTAATTCATTTAATTCAAAGCTTGTAAAACTGTAACATTTACGTTTGTCCCTAGCTTATTCTACAGATCATAAGCTTTCGTTTGATGTATAATTCATTGCCATAGCATTTTCTGCCCTAAAGTTATTGTCATTTAGACGTAATCTTTTGTACCCTATTTTCTACTATAATTCCCCAGTTTTGGACATAATTGTATTTATCTAATTATTGTACGTTGTGGTCAGCTTAGTCATCTATTTATTCATGTAACTTTTCACCCTAATCTGAATTGGGAATTCCAGTGCTTTATCGGGATTGAGATAAAGTGATTAGTGTTCCAGCTGTCTTTGTCTTCTCTCTCTCTCTTGCGTGCTTGCCAGCCAATCAGGGATAGAATAGTTTTCGTCTCTCTACCCCCACTTCGAACTCACGCATATTAGCCTCAAGGTTAAACCAGTCAGTCTATCGTGTCAAGGTCTTAATCTACATTATACTCAGCACTAAGTGGGTAGACAGATTCAAGGACGTAACACAAATATACATTTCGATTACACTGAGTGTTAGTTTAACACAATTACTTACCAGTAACATTGGTGTAACAAATGATGAGAAAGGTTTTATAAAAGATCCAACCGCTGTAACCCATGGACGAACGATGCGTTTAACAGTATTTTCACTGAAATGGAACACAACAAAAAAAAATTTAGAAAACGAAATATGAGAATATAACTGATTGTAATTTGCTTAAAATTATTATATCTATGTATTACATTATATTGTGGTGGTGTATATTGTGTTTGTTTTTCCAACCCAGGACATACCAGTCTCGAGCCAGAGCCCTTAAACTATAGACCACTGAGCTGGCATCCAACGGTGTTAATGTCTAAATTCAACTGATCCACGAAGTTGAGCAACCAATCACCAATTGTCTTCAGTGAGTTCCTATCTCACGATAGACGTCGTTTGAACTCCACTGATCACTGCTTCTCACTAGAGCTTCTGGATGTATTTCTCGAAGTCACTAGTGAGCATATGATTATATTAATAATTAGAAGGGGTTTTGTGGAGATTTAATATTTTTCATATGACTGATAGGTCCTGGTTTCGAATCTCGTGGATGCGCACTGCTAAGGAGTCGCATTATAGGACGAAAAGGCCTTAAAGCAGTGCTTCCAGGTTTTCCATGGTGGTCTAGGTTCAATTAACTCACCCTTTCAACTATGAAAAATACTAAATCTTCACAAAACCCCTTTCTGATAATTAATATAATTCATTATTATTTATCTATATTTGAGATCGTGAATCAAACAAGCTTCCATCCGAAGAGGAAATTAAGAAAAAAAAACTTTGGAAACAGATGGGACATACATTAAAGAAATCACCAAACTGCATCACGAAGCAATCGCTAACTTGGAATCCGGAAGGAAAGATAAAAACAGGAGGATCAACGAACATATTACTTTGTGAAATAAAAGCAGATATGAAAAGGATGAATGTTAACTGTAAAGAACTAGAAAGGATTACTCAGGACAGGGTTGAATGGAGAATGCTTGTGTTTGGCCTATGCTCTTCACATTAGAAGTAACAAGTGTTAGTAAATAATGTCAGTAATCGGTTCCAAATTTATTATTTTGCTATAGTCATTCACATAGTTCACATATAAATTTTCAACGACTTCGTCAACCCTATAATATTCTTTATATTTAACTACTTTTAATTATATTAAACTTTTATTTTACCTAACTTTTCAATGAGATCATCTTTCTTAAATTGATAAAAATACGTGAATCTGTAGTGGTGTAGTAAACAGAACACTAGTTGGGGACAATCGAATGTATTTAAGCAAGAATTACAGACTATGTCAGTAAATTCTGATAACCAAACAATGAACAGTCAATTTGCAAATTAATAACCAATTGTTTCAATCTTCACTGTTTCTTCTCTAATTCCATTGCTCATGCATTTTCCAAACGATTGCGCTTCATTTCAGTTCTTTCCTCATCGGTCTTCTGCCAAAATACATTCAATGTCTGACCCACGCCATATACTACTTATATGGATATAAGTAGACCACACCACACTCGTCCCCCCTTTAAAGCATTCGTTCATGCGGTGGTTCTACTCGCCATGCCATTATCTTATTTCACTGCAGTCTGTTCCAAACTCTCCATCAGAATGTCGAATCTGCGGCGCGCTGACCTCCATAGCTCCGTCGACCTGCCGGGGTACCAACATCCGCATCGACCCGGCACCTGGGACGTTCAACATCCGTACTCCACCGGCCTGTTGAGCCATCTACATCCGATGTCCACCCAACAGCGACACGTCCCATTGCTCCTCTCCGTCGACAGCAGCCGCTACAGCCAACGCCACAGTGGTTAAAACGTATACTCAAAATTTTATGTTTGATTCATATTAATCTCTACAGAATCCTTACTTAGAATAGATCTCAATGATTCAGCTAATGAATTTATCTAATCAAGAGTTACTTACAAATTTAGGAAATCAAATTGACTATACTAATCGTTTCAAAAATGAAGCTGTAATCTAATAGTTAAATGCAAAATAGTTTGATCCACCTAATTATCATTAAATGACATGCGTGTGGATATTCAAAAGTGATAAAGAACTATAAAATAAAAAAAGTATGTATTAGAGTTAACATAAAATTATAATCACAGAAAAACAGTAAATTACCTTGCATCATACTGCCTTTGATGATTCAATTTTGGTTTACCTGTTCTAGGATCTCTTGGTGTTAATGGTTTGCCACTTAGATCCCTCATCAAAGCGAAATTCGATCTTGAAAATCCCTAAAAAGGTTCAATATTTTTATTTTATTTTATTTTAGTAAAATTAGAATAAATATAGGGATATGAGATCTTTTAAGTTCTATAATATAAGTTATTAACTAATGAATTAATGCATAAATATGTTGTATTGTTGGTTGATATGTTAAATCCATATACCTTATTGTAGTTTATTCAGAAGCTAGAATAAGGTATATGAGCTTATCACATATTAACCAACATTATAATTTAAAGAAATATGACATTAACAAATTGAAGAAAATTTTATAAATACTAATGCTAATTTTTTTCTCAAAGATGTACATTGAATAATTACGATAATCACAGTCATGATTACTTTGATTCATCAAGTTCAAAAAAAGTCTAGTGATAAACATTTGAAAACAATTACGTGATTTGTAAGAAAAAAAACAACAACTGAGGAGTCCCATAATAGGACGAAATGGCCATCCACTGTTTCCAGGTTTTTCATGATGATCTAGATTCAATTGACTAACGCTTTCAACAATGATAAATACTAAATCTCCATAAAACCCCTTCTGATTATTAATATAATCATATGCTCACTAGTGATTTCGAGAAGTACATCCAGAAGCTCTAGTGAGAAGCAATGATCAGTGGAGTTCAAAACTATGTCAGTTGTGAGATAGGAACTCACTGAAGACAATTGGTGAATGGTTGCTCAACTTCGTGGATCAGTTGAATTTAGACATTAACACCGTTGGATGCCAGCTCAGTGGTCTATCGTTTAAGTGCTTCGGTTAGAGACTGGTAGGTTCTGGGTTGGAATCTCGCGAGAGCGGGATCGTGGATGCGCATTGCTGAGGAGTCCCATAATAGGACCAAATGGCCGTCCACTGTTTCCAGGTTTTCCATGATGATCTAGCTTCAATTGACTAACGCTTTCAACAATGAAAAATATAATAATTAATATTGACATCATGGACTAGTGAATGATATAAACAAAACTCTATTAGAAGATTACACAGGATATGATAAAGTAGATCAACTACAAAATATCTAACATTTTCAAACTGAAATTTAATATTAACCAATTTTGAATATAATGTATGTGTTAACAAAACAATTTTGGCTTAAACATAAATACTCACCATAGCATGACCCAATTCATGAATAGCTGTACCAATCAACATAGTTTTTCCAGGTTCTTCTATTTCCATCTTTTGTGGACAGAAATTGATCGCTCCCATAATTGGTCTGTAATGAAAATACAAATAAAACTTTAATATAATATATTATCATGGTAATGTGTTACTTTTGTAGACAGATTTTATGGTAGCACCATAAGTCTTACCGGTGAGACTGAACTTTATGGACAACCTTTGAACGAATCTTAAATGACCTTGAGAAATATTAGCCAATCAGAAGACATTTAGTATACAGTAAAAATAAATTATACAAAACTGAAAAATTAAACCGGATACTGTTCTTTTATATGACTCAAAAACTTCTCAAGGTCAGATATAAGTTCAGAAATTCTAAAATCCGCTGTAAATCGATCGTACGTAAGCAGCAGGTATCGAACTTAGCGCCGTGACCTTGAAAAACCGCGAAAGCTTCTGATTGACTCGTCCTTAAAGTTTAGTCCCACCACCTTATCAACTGAGTCTTATTAAAGTAAACAGGAGATGCATAGTTTTCAGTGGTGGCGTTAAATGCTTTTTTTTATTCTCATACATTATGAGAACAAGTACAATAATAAACTCTTTGCTTACTTAAGCAATAACAATTTAACATTAAGGTTTCAATGCAATAATTATTTTTTCTAATCTTACGATACAATGAAACGAATAATTACTAACCTATCAGTTGTAGGATGCATTTCACATGGACCAGCATAAGCTAATGTTATACCAGATAGGCAACCTTTATTATTATCACTTGAGATAAAGAGAACATATTCATTTGGTGCAAACCCTGAACCATCTTGATAAACATCTCTGATATATCCACTCCCAGTTCCTACAGCACATCCCTGTTGATTGAAATCGAGAAGAAATACTGGCTATTGAAAAGTATGTATGTAATATCAAAATGAAATTCTTGAAATTCTTGTAAACGTCTACTCAATACATAAATATAACCGCATTATGTTTCTTGCACTTATGTCTAGTGATTCACTTATTAAAACATAATAGTGTCTCTACTTCAAGTAGTTCTGTCTAATACTTACAATCTAAATATGATGTTATGTTTAGTTCGAGTATTAATGTTTCTCATTTTATTGTTGATTCAACTTCTAGTTTCAATACAGAGATGATCAACTAACATATTTACAGGTTTAATAACTCTGTAACGACAGCAAGCAAACAACAGGTACAATGCCAGACAATCACACCGTTCGAAGTCACTGCATTACATTGTAGTTGGTGAAAGACCTTCCGAATTGATAGTTGATGAACAGTGTTAAAACTCATCAACTCAATCAAATATTATCAACAACATAAACTCACTGAGCGATGTTCTGGGCAAATCATTGACATCCTGAAATACATCTTGGCATTATAAATCAAGGTAACCACAATTCTCATCATGATTAACCAGGTGGATGAAACTGTGGTGTCGGTTGCTATGTTAAGCGCACATAGCTTATTCTAGCTTCCGGAAAAGCTAATTTATTCATTTTCCTTAAACCACATTTTCATCTTGTCAATTATCCGCTTATCGAACTTGACTGTTTTTATTTGAGCGTATGTGTGTGCATTGCTTATCCTACTCATCACATGTCTGTACCTAATTTTTATCTGACCATAGATATCAATTCACACTTGATTAAATTGAGTTGGGTTCATTTGCCTTCTGCGATCTCCTTCACTCTTTTCACTTTGTTTCGTCTCCCTGATTGCCTGTTCAAATTAATGAGTACACGAATTATGTATATTCCAAATCGGTTCTCATATTTGGCTTATTTAATTCACTGACTCAGATTCTTAACCTTCTGCTTCCAGACATTTCGCTTTCAACTGGTGATACATACTACTTATATCTTTCAACATCAATAGCACATAACACATTATATCTCAAGTGTACATGAAAACGACAATAAAATCAACAACATGTTTATTTGATTATACTGGAGATTTAAGTAATTTTATAATTGAATTCATAAGTCAATTTAGGCTAGACCACTGTGAAAAACCTTGAAGCACTAGACAGTCAACTCATCCTAATGTGGGAATCCTCAGTAGTGCATATCCATGATCCCACCTCGCAAGATTCGAACCGAAAACCTATTAGTCTCGCACGCGAGCGCTTAACCTCTAGACCACTGAACCGGCATTCAATGGTGTTAATATCTAACTTCAACCAATCCACGAAATTAAACAACCATTCACCATTGTCTTCATTGAGTTGATATCTCCCAATAGACCTGATTGAACTTCACTGGATGTACACTACTGAGGAGTCTCACAATAGGACGAAACGGCTTTCCAGTGCTCACAGGTTTCCCATGGTGGTCTAGCTCCAATTGACTCATAATTTCGACTATATAAAATATTTTATTTATTATCTGATTTAGAATACATAATAATGACTGATAATTATGTAAATGAAAGAAATTTCATTGTGATTTCTACTACATAAGATGTTTTTGACCAAAACTTACGGAAGCATATTCATTTGGAACTTCATGGTCATAGCATAAAGCTCTTGGTCTGCATTGTGATTTGCAAAATAATTTGCCTGTTGATCTATCTCTGAAGTAAGATGGTTCAACGCATCCTCTACAAAAATAATATCATATATACGTTTTATAAAATTAATGTTATAGTAAGAATTCATTTAGTATTGTTTGTTTGGATCTTCCCATCGATGTGTTCAGGATTGCAACTGGTCAGTCTCTAAACTTCACCCCATCGCACAAGCAAGTGGCTATCAGGACTCAGTGGCCGAGTGGATAACGCGATGGCGTTTGAAGCGAAGGTACTGGGTTCGAGTCCCAGAGTGAACATCAACTCTGAGATGCAGGTACATCCAGCTGACGAGTCACAAATAGGACGAAACGTGCGTCCTGGATTCCACTGCTAGCCATTATCCATCTCTGCTTACAATGTTATAGTAGTTAAAAATCAATAAACGTACTAAAACATTTTATGGTAACATGAGAAAAAATTGAAGAATTACCAATAATCTTGTGGATATCATTAAAGATCGATATTGAACATAAGTATTATAATCAGAAGGGGTTTTTTTTGTGAAGATTTCAGTATTTTCATAGTTGAAATCACAAGTCAATTGAAGCTAGACCACCCAAAAAAAACCTGGAAGCGTTGGATGCCCGTTGATACATTAGTTAAACTATGATAATACTGATATTTCCACAAATAAGCCCTTCTGATTATAATCATTTACCCACTAGTGACTGACTTCAAGAGATATTTCCTGGAGTTCTAGTGAGAAGCAGTGACCAATGGAGTTTAACCACGTTCGTTGTGAGAAAAGAACTCACTGAAGACAAACGGTTGCACAGCTTCATGGATTGATTGAAATTAGACATTAACACCACTGGACGCCGGCTCAATGGTCTATCGTTCAAGTGCTCTGGCGCGAGACTGATAGGTCCTGGGTTGGAATCTCTCGAGGCGAGATCGTGGATGTGAACTGTTGAGGTTTTTCATAGTGGTCTAGCTTCAATTGACTAATGATTTCAACTATGAAAAAACATAAGTATTAATTAAAAGATACTTTTACAAATGTATTATTGCATAATTCAACAAAATGAAATTTGAACAAGTTACCTTTTATTAATAAATTGATATTCAATATTATTATTATTATCATTTATATTACTAACCTTTCTATTAGCAGCTTTCTGTTCGGTGGTTTTCTTACACTTAATGCTTTCTCCCAGAAGGCAAGAGCTACTGCCACCACTTCTGTCTAATATTTTAAAAAAAAATCAAAATGTTATAGTACTTGTAATGTTTTGTAAGTAATTAGTATTAATTTCATATAAAATGAGGCAATTCAAAGATTGTCGTACTTATCTACACGTGGAGTAAGTAACAATTTGTTCATATATATAGAATATAATTAGTCATAGACAATGGTTTTATATAAAATATGTCGACGATTTTCAAGAATAAATTCGTTTAAGTTAGCCCTGAAGAAATACTTATTACCATTTAAATTATTAATTATAGAAGGTGTTTTGTGGAGATTTAGTATTTTATTATAGTTGAAAGCGTCAGTCAATTGAAGCTAGACCATCATGGAAAACTTGGAAACACTGAAAGGTCGTTTTGTTCTATTATGGGACTCCTCAGTAGTGCGCATCCACGAACCCGCTCTCGCGAGCGAGATTCCAACCCAGGACTTACCAGTCTCGAGCCGAAGCCCTTAACCGATAGACCACTGAGCTGGTATACAACGGTGTTAATGTCTAAATTCAACTGATCCAAGAAGTTGAGCAATCATTCATCAATTGTCTTCAGTGAGTTGATATCTCACAACAGGCGTAGTTTTGAGGAGTCCCATAATAGGATGAAATGGCCGTCTAGTGTTTTCAGGTTTCTCATGGTGGTTCATCTTCAATTAACTCACACTTTCAACTATTTAAATTATTTACTATATTAGAGGGATATTAAAAAAGGAAATAATGTTTGATAATATTTACGAAGTCGCTGAATCTTGTACAAAAAAATTGAATGAAATTCAAATCAGTACTTAAATATAACCGATGAAATTGTTCTATCACAAACGCAACAACAAATGCAGGAGAAAACGACCAGTGTAGCAGCAGCCTCAGCAGCAGTAGGTCTCAATATAAACAAAGGGAAAAGCAAGACTCTCCGATACAATACAATATGCACCAATCCAATTACACTTGACGGAGAAGCTTTGGAGGATGTGGAAATCTTTACATATCTGGGCAGCATCATTGATGAACACGGTGGATCAGATGCAGATGTGAGGGCGCGGATCGGCAAAGCAAGAGCAGCATACCTACAGCTGAAAAACATCTGGAGCTCAAAACAATTGTCAACCAACACCAAGGTTAGAATTTTCAATACAAATGTCAAGACAGTTCTTCTGTATGGGGCAGAGACGTGGAGAACTACGAAAGCCATTATCCAGAAGATACAAGTGTTTATTAACAGCTGTCTACGCAAGATACTTCGGATCCGATGGCCAGACACTATCAGCAACAAGTTGCTGTGGGAGAGAACAAACCAGATTCCAGCGGAGGAAGAAATCAGGAAGAAGCGCTGGAAGTGGATTGGGCACACTTTGAGGAAATCACCCAATTGTGTCACAAGACAAGCCCTCACATGGAATCCTGAAGGTCGAAGGAGAAGAGGAAGATCAAAGAACACATTACGCCGAGAAATAGAGACAGACATGAGAAGAATGAACAAGAACTGGAAAGAACTAGAAAAGAAGGCCCAGGACAGAGTGGGTTGGAGAAAGCTGGTCGGCGGCCTATGATCCATTGGGAGTAACAGGCGAAAGTTTGATATGAGTAAACTTTAGTGTATTATTTCTGTTAGATTCCTTGATAAAATAAACAATCACAATAATAGTATTGACATTTCACAAAGTGTTTTAACATCATTGTTCACATTGAAATATCCACATAAGTTTACATTAAAAATTAGTTTTTAAACATGATCAATGTAATTCATCTTTGATTGAAATTCAGTAATAAGAATACTATTAGCAATAATTTATATGATTAAATCAACAGATTGATCTCTATATTATTTAATACACTAACAACCTATCCACAAAATAATTACACAGAAGTATTTTATTATAGTTGAAAGCGTCAGTCAATTGAAGCTAGACCATCATGGAAAACCTGGAAACATTGAAAGGTCGTTTTGTTCTATTATGGGACTCCTCAGTAGTGCGCATCCACGAATCCGCTCTCGCGAGCGAGATTCCAACTCAGGACCTATATATTCAATTGATAAATGATAATTGATAAATGAAAGAATACAATATACAAAAACTTGAAATTTATCAAAATTACCTTGAATCGAGAAAATAATGGATGTCTTCGCATATTATCAGCGTATATCGGAATAAACTTTAATCGATTACCTCCATATTGACGTTTATCAATTGGTTTACCTAGGATACCATAATTCTTAAAAAGAAACATTCTAATTTTAAATATAATCATATTTACCATAGTGATATTTGGTATAAGTTGACAAATATATTCATTTCTGGTAAAATTCAGTAAGCAAATAAAACAAAGAAAAAATAAGATTAATCTTGAACAATGTATCATTCTTATTGAAAAGTTGGAACTTAATAGAATACTAATAGATGGTTCTATGGATTTCATTCATTTATCATCTTGTCTATATATATACTGAAATTAGATGTTCACTAATCAATGATCCATTAGTTGAACTAATATTGGACGAGTTGTTTTGTACTAAAGATACCATTTATTACTTGTAATATTATATGTCCTTTATTCAAATTATTATACAACGGTTAGTACTTTTAAAAAAGAAACTCGTTTCAGGAAACTAATGATAAGTAATGTGTTGACCTACACTATGAATATGTGAGATTTATATTGACCACTTGAGTTCAATGAAGAAAAAAAACAACAACAACAACAACAACAACATTTTAAGCATTCACATCTCAGTTGGAGCCAATAAATTACTGATTTGTTGTTTGATTAATAAATTTCTTGACCAAGATTCAGTTTGTACTACTTCATCAAGACTTTAGGATTTAGGAAATGATATGATTGTTTTCAAAATAAACTATATGAACAGTCAGTAGTACTGAATGGATGATATTGACTATGAATGTACCTATTTGTAATTACAATTGATTGATCACTGGGTAGCGATCAATGTTATGCGTGTCAAGTCCTTGTTTAGTGCTGATCGAATGCTATCGATTAAGTTGCAATGTGGCGACTAGTCTAGGTGGTTCAACAATGCGTGCACTATGTTGAGATAAGATGATGATTTGTATATTCATGTGATAATCTCATTGTGAGACGGTTTCACTATAGTTAGTTCCATGAATTTTTGAAGGTTTATTGTCATCTAATTACTGATTTGTAACTGAATAAATAATCAAAACTTTTCCTATTTGTTAGGGCGATCCTGCAAATTTCTCGAAATAGACATGACAAGCTGAAGAAACATTCAGAAGCATTTTTACCCAATCAGCGTTTGATTAGAAATTTTGCAAGAAACATCAAGAAAATGAAAAGTCACATGTAGAGGTTTTGATTGGCTGTTTACTACACTGCTACTATGATTAGTAGTATTCTAGAATTTTCAGGGAAAAACCAAGGACTTCTAAAATACTATAAAAACCTTAGAAATTCTGTACATAAATGAACCTTTAGAGTAAAGCGCTTCCCGCACATTTTGTTCCTTTTCTCTAGCGTTTAAGTCGCTGTGTAGTTCTAGCTTGGGTATTACGAGACTATCTTAGAATCTGAGTATAGTATATCAAGACATATTACTATTCACTTACCAAGACATGGATATTTTTGTTAACTTTATATCTGAAACTAGATTGATATAATTATTTTCAACATGTAGCGAACAAAACACTAGTTGGGGACAATCGAATGTATTTAAGCAAACATTACAGACTATCTCGGTAAATTCTGATGACCAAACAATGAACAGTCAATTTGCAAATTAATAACCAATTGTTTCAATCTTCACTGTTTCTTCTCTAATTCCATTGTTCATGCATTTTCCAAACGATTGCGCTTCATTTCAGTTCTTTCCTCATCGGTCTTCTGCCAAAATACATTCAATGTCTGACCCACGCCATATACTACTTATATGGATATAAGTAGACAACACCACAAACAAAGAGAAGGGTTTGGTATGCTAAAACTATTCACAAATGTCATATCCTCCAACTTATTTAAGCCATTATATTCTACTGAAAACTTGTCTATTTTCAAATCCTCGGTGAAAATTTAAGGATGAAATTCATGAAAATTTCTTGACCACCTTTAATAATAATAATTATTATTATTACATACATTCACTAGCCGGATACTATCAGAAACAGAGTTTTATGGGAGAGGACAAACCAGCTTTCAGATGAAGAGGAAATTAGGAAAAGACGTTGGAAGTGGATAGAACACACATTACGGAAATCAACAAACTGCATCAAGAGACGAGCACTAATTTGGAATCCGGAAAGGAAAAGGAACAGAGGAAGGCCAAAGAACACATTACTTTAGGAAATAGAAGCAGATATGAAAAGGATGAAGATTAACTGGAAAGAAGTGGAAAGGATTGTTGAGGACAGGGTTAGATGGTAAATACTGGTCGGTGGCCTATAGTCCTCCATGAGGGGTAACAGTAGTAAGTAAGTAAGTATATATATGCCTGAAAAACCATATATGTTAATAAGAATCTACAGAGCTTCTAATTGACTATAGATCCTTAATAAATTATTATTATCACCTTAAATACTTTTCATTGCATTATAAGACTAAACAATAAGTATAGAATTACAAAGTTCAATCACTTCATTTGAAAGGAGTTAATAAATATTAAGCAATAATCAACTTATAATATGTGTTTCTAATAATTTTTCTCGTTAGCGTTTATATAGTGAGTTAGTTTTCTATGGGATAGGGTCGCTAACCTCATGCCTAACCTTCCTCCGTTATCCAGGCTTGGGACCGGCAGTAGCTACTGGAGGTGCTACAGGCGGAGTTATGTGATTCTAATAGATATTATAATCTAACAATATTTGGTGGAGAAAACATTAATTAAAAATAATTATTGTCCAAATATTAGAAATAAACTTCAGCTAAAGTTTCTCTATTTAATGAATTTATTTTCAAGTTATACATGTTTATTCACTGTTCATATATCCCTAAAGAAAATTATAAATCAAAATTAAGGGGATATATGAAATAATTAGAGAGGGAGATTAATTGAATAATGCAATGGCGTTTGAAGCGAACAGTGTACTGGGTTCGAGTCCCAGAGTAAACATCAACTCTGAGATGCAGGTACACCCAGCTCACGAATCCCAAATAAGACGAAACCTGCGTCCTGGACGTGATATATGTCAATACACTGAAGTCTTTGAAGGGGATTAATAAACAATTAAACTCCAATCTTTTCTGAAGCGATTTACTATCTCCAAATTAGAATCAGTTTATTGATTATTGTCTCGCAAATTCACAGCCACATTTAGCTTGATCTGGTACAAATATTATATTCTATTTGATGGTGTGATGCGGTCTGCCTGTTTGGTATATAAACCGAGTATGCTTGAAATAAATTATTCGCATTGCAGAAGCTGTATTTAGTGTTCTGGACTCAGTTGGAAGGGTTAGATGGACAAGAGACCAATAAGGACGCTAGACTGCTCATGTCAGTTGAACGTCATGGATTTGGCACAGTGTTAAGATTAGACAAACCGTATTCCGTTTGGTGGATAAATCACGTGATAAAAAGCCGGACATAAGGGCACAACAAGTTAGCATACGGCCTTGTTCATTGTTTTTTTTTAAAAAATTCATAACAATTTCAATGTTCTGGAACTCTCCCCCCTTTAAACTTTATTTATCTGAAACGAGAAGAGTTTTTATGACCCTAATAACTCTATTGGAATCTTCACTACATTATGTGATACATATATTCGTCAACATGTGTAATAAAATTGATTCTAAATATTATAGGCTGTGAAGCAACTGATGAGAACCTAACGAAATAAAGTCAATTCGTATTAGTCAGCATCAATTTTCCTTCTTACTCTCTTTAACATTGACCTTTTTGGTACCATGGGTAATTTTACTTCAGGCAGTTTCAGACATATGCTTCGTTAGAAACTTTGTTGATTATGTGTGTTTATGCAGTAAATCGTGAATAATTTTCAATTCCCCTTTAAGATTGACATTAGAACTAATAATTTTGTTATTGTGGTCAAACATATCAGGACGTTTCCTTTTTATTGTAATGGGACAAAGCTAGAGTTGTGTGCATATAGGTTTTGTGTAGTCAGTCATATTGAATCGTCAGTTTTTTCGTAAATAAAGGGTCTAGATAAAAGGTAGTGTCACAATTTTCGTGTTCTATTTAAAAAGAGACAAAACACTTGTCTTGAATTCCACTGCTGGCCATCATATATCTCTGTTGTTACTTACTTATTTTTGGATTGCTATATTGACTTATCTTCATTTATTTGTTATCAAATTCCTACTGATTTGTAAAACGTATGCATTGGTGTAGAGACCTGACATAAAGCTAAGTGTGAGGTATTATAAGGAAAGATGGATAGTGACTGGCAGTGGGATCTAGAATGCGAGTTTCGTTCTATTCGGGAATCGTCAGCTGGATATACCTGCGTTTGAGAATTGATTTTCCCTCTGAGACTCTAACCCAGTACCGTTCGCTTCGAACGCCATCGCATTATCCACTCAAACACTGAGTCCTGATAGCCATTTGCTAGTGCAATTTGTTGAAGTTTAAATTCACTTGGTATTGTGTATTTATATCTTATCATTGATGTTTAGGACTATAATTGTTCAGTCTCTAATTGGCATATCTGCATACTGTGCTTATCGCCTTGATATATCTTGGATTCCACTGCCAGCTACTATCCATCTTTACTTATAATGCTTATGAATTAAGGCTATGTCGAGACAATGCTAACAGTGTGCACATATGCCAATAAGAGACTGATTAGTTACAGTCCTAAACATCAATGGGAAGACTCAAATAAACAATACCAAATGAATTTAATTGTGAGGTAATTATTCATCGAAGTCGATAAAGGACAATCGCACGGTATCGTAGATTGGTTTAAGTTAGATAATAAAACCGTTGGATAGAGACTCAGTAGTCTAGAGTTTGAACGTTCACATGCGAGAGCGAAGGTCCTAAGTTCGATTACCTCGTAGGAGGTCGTGGTTGCACACTGATTAGAGGTCCTATACTAGGACGAAATGATTGTCCAGTGTCTCCATGTTTTCAATGATCGTCTAATATTGATCAGTTCATGATTTCAAATAAAAAAACTCAACAATCTTTACAATCCTATACTGATATAAATGAATATTGTTTTGGCCAACTTCTCTTTTTGATTCATTTATTTTCTATCTTGTATTTCATTCACTTAAACTAATTGAATAAACTA